TCCCATAAGCAATCAGTGCCAGGGCTGAACAGAAATGTGAATCCTCCACAGTTTCAAAATGATCTTTGACTATACCACAAAAATATGAGCTACCATTTATGGAGTGTCTCCCACATGCAGAGTCTAGACAGGAATCTAGACGAGATATCAGGCAATCACAATATAGTGTGGCCACAACTATGATGGAAAGTAGAGAGAAAGTAGAGAGTGATGGAAACACAAAGCAGACTCATGTCAACTGGTCTTGGGGGCAGTTTGTGGGCATGTCAAGGACGACAGAGCAAAGGAGCGCTGCTCTGTAACCTAGGGGTAAATAGGAGTGTGCCAGGGAAATGTGTGAATGTAAGTTAGGGAATAAGGCGGTAGGCACTGAACAATTTTCCTAGCAGAGGGAAAAGCACATTTTCAAGCCCAAAAGTAAAAATGCGCCTGGCATGAAGACAGTTTTATGTCAGGATGCCAATTATTAAATCAAAATAAGGTGTGCAGGTGAGCATGTGAAAGGTTTTTGAGTGCATGGAGCTCACATCTGCTACCAAGGGCATACTGTTTCTCAGATCAGAAGGGCTTGGGGAGTGATTCAGTATTACAATATTTCATGGAGAGCAACTTAATTTTTCTGCTATCCTTTATGATTGTTGAAAGGCAGAAAGATGAATTTTCCCTTTATTTCTCTCCTCCTTTCTGGCCCAGTAAAGCCAAGGATCTACCTGGTAGAGATGTGGTATTAGAAATCACCTATACAAAGCTTGGTCATAGAGGACTGTCAGAACCTGTAACGAGTGGACCAGGAGGCTCAAAGAAAGCAAGGGGTCCCTCTTTCTCCTACATCCTGAGCTCCACTTTCCTCACTTTCATTTCCTATTCCAGGATGACTGACAGCAGTTGTGCCCTCTCCTTTCAGGGGAGACCCCACCTCTTTCTCCCTGGGAGATGCTGTGGCCTTTCATAGGTCAGTGGCCATGACATATTAAATCCAGTGTATTTGTACCTTTCCTACAAGCTGGACTCTGTCAGTCTTGAACAACCCAGCATATAGGGACATCTACACCTCAGTCTTCATGGCTGTGCCAAGCCCAGGCCAAGTCCTTCTTTTTGTCTCTTTTCCAGCTTGATGGGCAGGAATGCACATCCTCTGACTGTCTTTGGGATCCTAAGGTTCTCTTTCCATGAGTAGTTGCTGAAAAGAACACACACACACATACATAGGAAGAAAAGTATATCAGTCTCTGAGATAGCTTTCAAGAGCACCCTCAGCCTCTGGGGAGCTTTAACTAATTATATCTGCACAGGCCTCACCCCACTGCAGAACTCATAAATCAGTATCTTTGCAGCTAGGGGCCCAGAATTTATATTCATTTTTAAAGCTCACTGTGTGAGTCTGACTTAGTGGAGGACACACAAGGGCTTACACCAGGCAAAGACAGCCTCTCTCATTATCTACAGTTCATCTTTTCCTGGACATCTCTGTATCCTAATGGTCTGGGCCTCACATTTGCATAACTGAAAGGTCTGTTCAAGAGATTTCCCTATAACAAAGAAATGGTTTCTGCTCAAAGGTGAATTATTGCTTTGACTTCAGAAACTTAACCCTGCAAGAAGTTCTGATATTACAGTTTTTCACACATGTGTGCATGTACACACACACACCAAGACACACTTTATTACATATATATGTGTAGTTTATCTCCCCTAGAAATTTATAAGCTATGAATAATTTTTAGGGCAGTTGGCTTGAATTGTCTTTTGTGGGATTTGCAATGTAGGAAGTTTTCAGTACTTAATTTCAACCATGAGAAAAAGTATGACTGCAGCCCTTCTGTTTAACAAGTAAGCCTGTCTTGGGACCAGTGGCATTAGGAATCCTTAACAACCAGACTTTACCATTATTTTAGAAAAATGGAGTGCCTGATTTGCCCAACTCTGCTCAGAGTTGCTTTCTTTCTCCCATTCTCCCTCTTGTAATTAAAAAAAAAATTTCCATAGCCCTTTCTCTGCAGTGCATTGTTATAATTGAAGTTGCCACTCCATTTCCCTGACACAATCCTCATACAACACTGTACCTCATGGAAAAACATGATGAGACCATGGAACTTGATGCCTTTAAGTTTAGAATAATGAGTTTTCGGTTTTGTCCTAGGTATTTTGGGTCTCTAAGTTTAACCATTGCACACTGCGGTTCACCTGCTTTTCTTGGTCTCTGCTCTCTTGCTGGTCATTTGACAAATCCTGGCAATGGGAATGGCTGAAATTCAAAATTGCAGTTCTTTAGGACTCCAACCGATCACATGGTCCAGCCTGAGGCAGATGAAACATCACAAACTTGCACTTGAGTCTAGAGAAGCTTGGAACTGGCTCAAGATCACAGAGTGGAGGAGGGGCTAGAATCCAGCAAGTCTGGCTCCTAATATGGTACCCTTCACATTAGAATCCAATTGTTGAAATCCATCCTGTGCATAAAAACCACCTGAACAACAGTGCCTGGCTGGAAACCAGCAAAGCCCTTCCCTTCAATATTTACATCTAAGTTTGTTTTTAAACCAAGTCCTCTGCCTTCCCCTTCCAATGAATTTGCCACCCCTAGTGCTCTCCCATATAAAAATCATCATGTAAAGATTCTGGAGTCTGAGTAGTACTACCCACTGATTTTTGTTGTTGATGAAATGTCGGCTCCCAGGCCTCTTTTGCAGGGTGTCAGATCTCGTGGGTGAGGGAAACCCATGCACCTGTGTCTTGACCTGACCACTGAATGGTTCTGTGGTCTGTGGACCACAATCTGAGAAGCTGCTCCAGAATCACTTCTTTCATTTAGCATAATGTTTTCAGGGTTTCTTCATGTTGTAGCATACAACAGTACTTCATTCTTATTTATTGCTGAAAATTTCTATTGCATGGATTACCACATTTTGTCTGTCCCTTCATCCACATTTAGGATGCTTCTACCTTTTGGCTATTGTGAATAATGCAGTATGTGTACAAGATTTTGTATGGACATATATTTTCATTTCTCTTGGGTACATACCTAGGAATAGAATAGAATTACTGCACCAAATGATAACTCTATGTTTAACTTTTTAAGGAACTGCCAGACTTTTCCAAAGTACTCACTTTACCTTTTTTTTAAGCCAACCTGAAATCAGTGGCTCTGAATAACCATTTAAGAGCTTAGTCACATACAGCTCGGCTTGATCAGGTGTGACGAAGGACCTACTGTTAGCAAGTGTTTGAGGGACGTGAAGAATCAAGCTTGGGTTACAAAACCTAAAGTTCAAATGCTCAAGAATGTTATTTGGCATAACCTTAAAGGCTCGGGCATTGTTACATGGATTTGTGTTTATGGTAAGCAGAAAAAGAAACTCATAGCTATAAACATGGCCTAACAACAACAAAAAACTACAGCATAACACCTCTTAATTAGCAGCTTTGGAAAAGGTTTAGTGGCCTGAAAAAATAAGTAAAGCTACTGGATAAACCATCTGTGGATTTTAGTTACCCTTGCTATCATCTGTTTCTATACAGCAATCCCCCCTTACCTATGGGATACATTCCCAGACGCCCATTGGATGCCTGAAACCTCAGATAGTACAGAACCCTATATATACTATGTTTTTTCCTATACATACACACCTGAGAGATTAACAATAAGTAATAATAAAATAGAATAATTACAGCAATATACTGTAATCAAACTTATGTGAATGTGATCTCTTGCTCTCCCAAACATTGTACTCTACCCTCTTTTTCATGATGTTGGGGGATGATAAAATGCCTACATGATGAGATGAACTGAGGCGAATGATGTAGGCATTGTGACCTAATGTTAGGCTACTGTTGACCTTCTGATGGTTAGTCAGAAGGAGAATTATCTGCTTCCAGATGGAGTTTGACTGTGGGTAACTGAAACCTCTGAAAATGAAACCGTGGATAAGGAGGGGGACTGCTGTTATCAGGAAATAGACTTTAAAAATTCAAGGTTAAGTACTTAGAAATACTTTAAACTATTTACGTATAAAATACAGAGAAGTACACAAAGTGTACTACATAAATTTTCTCAAAATGAACCTCACCCTTGTAACTATCCCCTGCAGTAGGAAAGTTATCTGCTCCCCTGGAACTCTCTTTTTCCAGTCATTAGCCATCCAAAAGCAAAGAGGATATCTGACTTCCATCACCAACATTGCCAGACACAAAGAATACACATTTCATGTGTCAAGGATCGACCACCGGAATAGATTCATCAAACTGACAGAATTTCTCAAGACTCAGTCAGACTTCTTGTATTGCACAGTGTAGTAGGATATTAAAACTAAATACCTTTAAGCTTGTATACAAAATAGAAGGTATAAACTGAGCACATAAGAAGCTTTTAATTTAACATCACCTACAATTTAAGAACATGTGCTGTAAGGTGTTTTTAAAGTACATGAAACAACATACTTTAAACATTTATTTTAAAAGACAGTTCCCTTTTTCTCCAGGGTTTAAAGTTTACTTCTAAGAGGAGTTTATAAAAAAAAATCCTAGAGACTGTTAGTCACAGGTACTTTAATAATTCAAAAAGTGTATATGTAAACACACATGCACATTGGCAATGCATCACATTGTGGGTTGAAGTAAGTAATGACTGAAATTTTTGTAAGAGGAGCACAAAAACGGATATACACTTGCCTTGGTTTATTAAGGGATGTTAAATACCCTTACCTTACTGATGAAATGAGCTGCCCAATACTGGGACTGACATACTTCAAAGCAACAGTGCTCTGCTTCTTAACCTGGAAAAAAAATCTATTGTAATCGTTTTATGTGAAAGAACATTTTCAAAACAATTCTTTTGAGGGAGCGGTATATACTATTAGGGAAAGTTACTTTGCAAAAGCGAATCTCTTCCTTTTTTCAGCTCTCTATGTTTTATAAATTACCAAAAACAGATTCAGATTTTATGAGGATATTTCTTCGGAAGTTTGCGATTCAATGTTCTATCCGGTGATGCCTAATATAGCTCATGAATAAAGGTGAGGGGGACCTGGAGTGTACCTTTTGCCACGAGCTTCGGGCTGCCCCGGTTGTCGAAATTTCCAGGGGCTGGAGACTTGCAAGGTAGCCTCGTGTTCCTGCTCGCTCTTACCCTGGTACCAGGAAAGCACCCCCGCCCGCTTCCCTCCCTTCCAGACAGCCGGGCCGCAGCACTGTGTCCGCTCCGGAAGCCCCGCGCGAGCGCTGACTTCTTTGCCTGGTCCTTCCCTGAAACCCTGCAGCTTACTTTCCCCACCAAGTCTCCCGTAGGCCCTCCTCCTGCCTTCTCCCTTTCTTTGGGGGAGGGAGGGGAAGTATAAAGTCGGGCTCTCTTCGCGTGAAAGGTTCCCAGGCTCCCTCCCTTGGTTGGGCCGGAACAGGGCAAGGGTCCGCAGCTCCCCAGTCCAGCCCCAGCTGGGCGGGTTGGGGACAGACTTAGATTGTTCGGCTGGCTGCCAGCTCGGACACTCCCAGACCCTGGGGTCCCTCTTGGCCTGAGGGACCTTATTTGTAAATTGGGCCGGGCACCTTTCCTGGATCCCAGGGAGCGGGCGGGAGTTGGGCGGTGACCCAAAGGCTGCAGTAGTCGCGGGCGCACGGCGCGTGGGTGCGTGAGGCTGAGAGTGAGCGCGCGCTCGGGGCCGGTCGGGGGCGGACCCCGGGTGGCAGGTGGGTGCGGCCGGCGGGAGCTGGGGCAGCGGCGGCGGCGGCGGCGGTAGCAGCAAGTGGTTGGACCGTGCGCATTTCCTTCCCTCCCTCTCGGCCTCCGAGCCCGCCCGCGGTGCCCGGTGCGCGGCGCCCGCGGCTCCGCTCCGCGTGCCTTGCCCGCCGCCACGCCGCTCCCTTCCCCGCCGGTCCATGTCCCTGCCTGTGGTGCTCCCGGGCTCCTGCTGCCCGGTGGCTGGGCTCTCGGGCGGGCCGCAGGCCGGGGGTTCGGGCGCCGCGGCGGCCGCCGCCCAGGAGCCGCCGCTGCCCCCGCTGCGGCCGCGCTGGCCCCGGGCGGCGCTGCAGCCCCCGGTGCGGCCTCGCTGCGCGGCCACCGGCGCCGGGGTGCTGGCCGCGCCGCCCCCGCTCTCCTCCCGCCGGGCGGCCGCCGCAGCCGCCCGGGGCTCCGCTCTCCTCCCCGCTCGCCCGCTGCTGTCGCTCGGGCTGCTGCAGCTGACCCTGGGCTGCTGCATGGTGGCGCTCAGCTTCGGGGCGCTGTCGCTGAGCAGCTCCCCGCAGGTGAAGAACTCGTGCCCGTTCTGGGCGGGCTCCTCGGTGAGTGCCGCGCGCGCCGCGTTTACCCAGGGGCCTTCCCGGGGGGCAGGGGGCTCTGGCGGCCCCCTCCGCTGCCGCCTGATTGGGCCCCCACGGCTGCGGTTGACCCTCCCCCCCACCAGCCAGGTGAAGTTTTCGGAGGCGTTGGGCTGGAGAAGAGTCATAGAGTGGGGTTGAGGGGTGAATTGGATTGCCCCCGGCCAGCGCGTATTCCCAAGGCATTCTGCTGTCCCTGTCAAGCCAATAGAATACAACAGATTCTCAGCTCGCTGGGAGATTGGAAGGACGGGATAGCTGCAGACGGTGGAGGTGGAGGAAAATAATTAAACTTTCTTCCGCGCTGGAAGGTCAGGGATTTTGATACTTTGTTCGCTGATGTATGAACAGTGCCTGGCACATGGTGCATTTGTGGGATGGATGAAGTGACAGCTTGACTGGGGCACCGCGCTTATTTTATTTCACTTTATTTCACTCACACGTAAATGTGAAATGTATCTGGTGTAGGGCGGCTCCACTCAATTTGGGGACGAGTTCAGGAGGCAATGACTGAATGTGTGTAAATGGACGTTCTACCCGGCGATTAGAGGGTCCTGAGCCCGGACTCGGTTCCTGGAGCCACGCAGGCTGCTGATCATACCCCTGAGCCTGTCGTTAATACCCGAGTCAGCCAGAGTGGGGCGGCTGGCTGGACGTGTCCTCCCTGCCCAGGGGCCTGGTCCGGCTTCCTCCACAAGGGAAGGCCGATGCCTCCAAGGAAGACTGCTGCCCTGGGCGTCTGTGGAACCAGTGTGGCTGCTCATCCTTTCCGCCAACAATTTCACAGCTTCCAGGGCATCCAGCCTCTTGAAGTTTGCTGGAGCTTGAGAGACTTGGAAACAGGTCTTTGTGGAAAATTAATATCTTTATAGTAGACAACCTTTTTATGAACTAACTAATAAATCTTAAAGTCTGGCAGTGCCTATAATTTTGACTAAAATCTCAAAAGACATCCTGAATGCATAAAAACTGCCTTTTTGCAGGTCCACACATACCCAGATTCAAAAACCAAATTTTAGGAATATAGGGAGAACTCATTCAACCCAAAGTAATTGTTTGAATAGGAACACTTAAGAACCTTAAGTAACTCCAGCCCAGCTTGACATCTCATACTTAAACTGATGCCAGTTTGCTCTCCTTTTGAAGTACTTTGATGCTGAATGATCTGGCATGGAACCAGTGCTGCTGTGACTGTGGTCCACAGTCTGTGCATCATGTAAAAGGAATCCCACCCTGTGGCCCTGTCCTGGGGCTCCCCCTCTGGTCTCCCTGAATGTCCTTAACTTTGGGAGGAGGGGATTCTCAACAGGGTAGGGATTAGATCCATTAGACTCCCTAGTCCACTAGTCAGATAAAATTCAGCCAAATGGTAATGGTGGGTGCATTTCATTTCTCTAAATACCATGTACCAGAACTGAATCATGCATAAATTTTTAGAGATTTGCTCTTTGTAAAATCATAACCGCTTGTCTTCTCAAAGATAGCTAGTTTAGGATTACTGAGAACTATTTTTTCTCTTAAAATTAAAACCTGAAGCCATTGTACTGTTGTGAATTATTTCAGAGGTCAGTGCATTTAGATGTCAGTCAAGCTGCAGTTGGATTTGATGAAGGATTTTTTAAAAAGGCCATCAGCCAGAAGATGAAGGCTGTTAACCTGAGTTTACTGGCTAGGCATTTACTTTTCTCCAGGATCCCACAAAACAGAGCAGGGAAAGAATCAGTGATTTGGAACTAAGTTCTCATTTATGTAGTTGTTTTCCACATGCTGTGTCCCCCAGCTCTGTCCCCCATGCAAACCTGTTTCTGAGATTGACCTCAAAATTTACAAGTGACAACAGAACGAACAGGCAGTGCATTTCCAGAACAATTAAATTGGATTGGAGGATGGCCTTTGGCACCATCACTCCCTTGATGTTTTTAGCTAAAAATTCTCACCAGTAGCATATCTTTTGAGTTTATGTATGTGAGAGGGGTTCTTTTTTTAGAACTCTGCATTATGGAAAAATTTAAATTTATTCAACACTGTACAATGGGGAACCCTCACATACCCGTTCCTCACCCACCTCCAGCAGTTATTTCATCTGTGTCTCTTCCTGGCTCTGCTGCTGGCTCTGGGCATTCTGATAACATCAGAAGGATGGTTGTTCTACACAGGGTTAGGACTTTGCTCCGTCATGTTCTCCAGTCCATTTTTCAGATTAACTTCCTATATTGTTTTGAAGCAAATCTCAGACACATCATTTCATCTGTAAATATTTCAATATGTGTACATTTTTAAAAAGAAAATATAAACAGAATAGAGAGACAACACAGAAGTGACCAGGAAGTCTTAAGAAACCTCCCCCACTTTAAATATTTTATTTTGAAAATTTTAAATCTCAGAAAATATAAAGAATCATATAATGAATCCCCATTAACCTTTACTCAGCTTCAATAGCTATTAACACATGGCCACTTTATACCCACACCCCTCTCCCTTCCTAGCACCCAAACTGGATTATTTTAAGGCAAATCCCAGGTATCATAATTTCAGCCATTAAGTATCTCAGTATGTATGTCTAAAATAAAGAAGCTTAGTAGTTAAAAGAAAAGGTTGCTTAATAGTGCATTGTTACTAGCTTCCAGACAGCTAAATGAAGTTTTTATGAAAACTTAAATATTATGACTTGAGACCGGCAAAAGTTAAAAAAAAAATAACAGCTTTATTGAGATATAATTCGTGTTCCATACAATTCACCCACTTAATGTGTGCAATCCAATGATTTTTAGTAAATTCACAAGAGTTGTGCCACCATCATCACAGTCAATTTTAGAAAAATTTCATCACCCCAAAAAGAAATCCTGTACTTACTGGCAGCCACTCCCATTTCCTTCTGACTGCCTTATCCCTATGCGGCCACTGATCAATCTACTTTCTGTCACTGTGGTTTTGTTTTTCTGCACATTTCATGTAAATGGAATCATACAACATGTGGTCATTTGTGACTGGCTTCTTTCACTAAGAGTAATGTTTTCAAGGTTCATCCCTGTGGCATCCATTAGCTGTTCATTCCTGTTTATTGCAAAATGAGATTCTATTGTATGAATCTATCCCATTTTATCTATCGCTCAGAAGTTTTATTGGCATATGAAACTAGGTAGTTGAGTGGCAGTGCCAACTTAAGTGTAAGGTTACTTCAGACCCACATAGGAACACACTAGAAGGATATCTTCCTATTTCGAGCTTTGAATGACCATTATGTGCCTTAATTTGTTATATCAACTAAATCTACAAGTCTTTTTTCAGCTTCAGTAAAAATTTTGCTTGTATATTTGATACAAAATTAAATTCAAGGGACCAGTATATTCATTTGAAAGGACCGTTTGGTTAAACACAGTATAGTTTAAGAGTATTTTTCCGTATATACATCTCTAAATGTTCTCTGAGATTTGGAGGCTTCTTTCTCTTGTCTGAACCCTAAGATACCTTTTATCTCTTTTAATATATATTTAAGAATGAACAAGTCCTATAGAGACTCTTTTTCCATACTTTAAATTCATATTTTCAGCAACTTAGAGGGAGTGTTTTTGATATACTCACTGTTTTTGAGCACTCTGTGATCATTTATTTCCTTCCTGGTGTCCTTGGTTAATAACAATTTATTAATTCCAAAGTTCATGAAACCAAGAGACGATCCACTTCTAAAAACATGTTGGAGTTTGACTTCAGGTGGGTGGCAGAAGTCTGTGTTCAGGCCATGCTGTCCTGGCTCCTGATTTTGGGGTGCATTTAGTTACTATTAGTTAGATTCCACTGGTATGATGGGAAACCCAGCCTGCCACACTGCATTTGATCAATGAAGGAGTAGAGAGAGTTGTGTTGGTTTGTGTTTCCTCCTCCAAAAACAAAATTCCTGACTGATGATGTATATGATCCTTGAGAGATATTTTAGGCAAGTGGAAGAGAATTGGTTATTGTGTTGTTTTCCTCTTGGAGCCCTAATAGCCTTTATTGTCTGTATACATTCATGTCTGTCTGCTTTAAGTCACTGACCTGAACTCGTGGTCACCCCTCTTGAGTGTATGACCCTATGGCAAGATCCTAGTTCCTTATAGAGACAGACATTGGTGAACCTTAAGGGAAACCTTTTATTTATTTATTTTTATTTTTTATTTTGGTATCATTAATCTACAATTACATGAGGAACATCATGTTTACTCAACTCTCCCCTTCACCAAGTCCCCCCCACATACCCCATTAGTCAGTGTCCATCAGCGTAGTAAGATGCTGTAAAATCACTACCTGTCTTCTCTGTGTTGCACAGCCCTCCCCGTGCCCCCCGCCACATTATACATGCTAATTGTAAGGCCCCCTTTCTTCTTCCCCCCCTTCTCCCTCCCTTCCCCCACCCATTCTCCCCAGTCTCTTTCTCTTTGGTAACTGTTAGTCCATTCTTGGGTTCTGTGATTCTGCTGCTGTTTTGTTCTTCAGTTTTTCTTTGTTCTTATACTCCACATATGAGTGAAATCATTTGGTGCTTGTCTTTCTCCGCCTGGCTTGTTTCACAGGGCATAATACCCTCTAGCTCCATCCATGTTGTTGCAAATGATGGGATTTGTTTTCTTATGACTGAATAATATTCCGTTATGTATATGTACCACATCTTCTTTATCCATTCATCTACTGATGGACACTTAGGTTGCTTCCATTTCTTGGCTATTGTAAATAGTGCTGTGATAAACATAGGGGGTGCATCTGTCTTTTTCAAACTGGGCTGCTGCAGTCTTAGGGTAAATTCCTAGAAGTGGAATTCCTGGGTCAAACGGTATTTCTATTTTGAGCATTTTGAGGAACCTCCATACTGCTTTCCACAATGGTTGAACTGATTTGCATTCCCACCAGCAGTGTAGGAGGGTTCCCCTTTCTCCGCAACCTCGCCAACATTTGTTGTTGATTGTCTTTTG